TTCTCGGCTCCCTCCCGCGCCTCTTCTCCACCCCGTCTCCTTGCCCCATACCCCCGTTCATATTCTCATCCAGTTTCGCGCTTCTCGTTTCCACAGGCGATCTCGTCAGACGTCGCCAAAACGCCACATCTTTTCACGTGCACACCGCTACGTTTTCCCATCCATTTCCGTTTTTATCGCGTAACCTCGCGTTATTTCGTCCTCGACGGCGGCGTCGTCTCCTTTTTTTTACGGCACAACGGGAAAGAATAATTAGCGCTTTATCCATCCCGACATCTCGCATGGAAAGCATTTCTTTCGGTGATCGCTTTGGAGATCCCTTTAACAGTCCCTTCAATCGAGAAGCAATCGAAAACGCGTTGAAAAAAAAAACCCAGATCCCAGATTTCGGACGATATACGGATATCAAGAAACGAGGACAGAAATCTTCGCGAGGAGATTTGTAAACTCTGGTTAAGCACCTACGCGGTGGGAAAGTTTCGAAATTGGCCCTGTTAAAAGTAAACTTTATCGGTTATCGATACGATCCTTAATCCCTCGCGCAGTGGTTTTTTTTTCCGTATCCGTGCGGTCGGCACGTCGGCGGTTTTGCCGTTGTTTGGAAGTTACGTCTTTTTCCAAGCATTTTTCGGGAGGCATCACTTCAGAATCGATAATCGCGATCGCGAGAGAATCGGCATTTATAACGGAATTCAGAGGAACGAATGTACGAGCAAATTTCTCCGATTTCGTGGTTACTTGTTATATCAATCCCTCACGACGACGAACCTCGTTCGGGATGTTTGCGAAACTGTCGCTCGAAGGCCTGCGCGAATTTTAACTAGCGGTTTGCGCTTGACGGAAAGAAGATTGTTCGAGGGATCGCTGGCCGCTCGTGCGGCGATACTTATTTCTTTCCCGTACAGATCTCGGAATTGAACGTAGTTATATAACGAAAGTTGTGTAATATAAAAGCAAGTCCAAAACCCAGTTCCCGAGACGCAACTCCTTTTCTTCCTTCTGGGAAAAAAAACACAAATAAAATTCTGTTTCATTCTGTTCGAATGAAATTCTACCAGGAATAATCATTAGATTAAACTACAGCGAAGATATTTTCTTAAAATATTTTTGTGCTACCATCTATCAAATGTTGAAAATTTCGTCAACAACAATTTCGTTTCACGTTGCAGAAATACATTTAATTTTTGCAACGAATGTTTTGAAAATTGAAAGCGCATTTGTCATGCACGCACATAGACTGTATAACATTTTCTGTAATAAACAACTCCGTCGGCTATTTGTACTGGAAATTGTAATTGTCGTTGACACTCATAATTAATTTATACGTAATTACTTATTAATCTAGAAGTCATGCCATCTCTTATCTTTTTCAATTGAAATTCGCATTATCGCCCCGGCTCTTCCCCAGCTTTACTTACGCGATTGAAATGCTAAAAAATGCTATCTTTTACAATTCAGCGCACGTCAATTGAATACCGCGAGTAGTACAAACTCGATCCGTGCGGCTTACGCTGGAAGATTGATCCAGACGGAAGGTATCCGCCGGCTTAATTTGGTCGAAACGAGCCCGCGGGTATTCGAATTATAGTGGCATCAAGCAGAGGAGTCTCGTCGAAATAGGGTCGTATCAGATAAAGGGCCCGACGTCGATGTCACGCGACGCGTCGCGACGCTTCCTACAACAATCGAGATTAGAACTCAGCGACTTCGAAATCTTCCCGGTATCATCGAAAGTCCTTACCCCCCCCCCCTCTATCTCCCCTTCCCTCCCGTCTCCCTTCTCCCCTCCTCTCTGCTCCTCTCCCCGTAGCGAGCGTTTATTACAGACGGGTTGTTCTGGATCTGTGTGGCCGCGCCTTGCCACAGGACTTCGTCCTTTCATCTCGGCTATGCAAACCAAACGCGGGAGCCAATCCGCCCCGCATGGCGGAATTGCGGTGGTAATTACTGTCCGATTTCGCCCGGACACGCACCATCAAGCGTGCGCGTACATACGTATACACGTATGCACGCGCACGAAGAAAGGATCGATCGATGACGTTCCCTTCCATGACTTCTCGGATCTGCTGATTGCAATCAGAAAGAATACACATCATGCGTGTTAATTTCTCGTGGATTTTAATTATAAAATCCACGTACAGATAATTATCTGATTTAAAATATCTTCGCGCTCTTTTTACGCGCGAAGTGATGCTTCTGTCTGTCAATGTTCACAATTGGTGGACGCGACGATGAGATACCTCTCCTGAGGTACCTCTCTGATCCGAGGAGACGTGAATACGTCTCCGTAGAGTATCTACGTGCTTGCTAAAATTTTGCAGCGAGCATCTTGCATTCTGGTACATTCCCGGCGC